AGTGCTTCCTTTACCACCTTTTGTCCATTCAACACATTTTGCAGCAATTTCTTGACACAGTACTGGTGAACAAACCTGCAACTTCAGACTCTGTGTGTTCCTATGTTGGACATGAGAAACAGGAAATCTTTAGTAGGAGACTTTTTGATGCCACATGCAGCAGAAATGTTTTTATCTCGTAAATAAACTACTAGAAGCGAGTTGAGAAGCTGGACCCTGGCTGTGCTTTGAGTTGCACGTTCACATTCAGAGTCCTTATTTTTCCTTCCTAAAAATAAGGAAATAAAAGAAACTAGTAATTTTTTTTCCCTTCATGATGGACATTAATATGAGCACAAAATGTAAATGAGCAATTTGTGTATGAAAATTACTCTGGAGACAGTAGGTCAAGAGGTTAAACAACAACACATCTGTATAAAAGCTTTCAAAATGTGATGAATGGATCTGCAAAGCACAGAGTCTCCTTTTGCGACATGAAAGGTAACAAGGACGTGGGCAACTGGGGTAATTTTATTCATACCTCATTATTTTTTAGTTTTTTTCCCCCGATTTCAGCGAAGAGGAAAATCTGCTAAAATATTACCAAAGTAGCTAAAGTTCAGGACACTTCTAGATGTTCTAATTCTGCTTGTTCCTCCCTGAACTTTTGCACCTCTGATAAATCATGTGACGTCAGTAAGTTATTCACCGAAAACATCAGATAGCGCCTTAATTTCCACTGGCGATGCAGGCGTTTGATAACCGCTTCACAGTCTAGATGTCCAAATTCAGTTGTGCAAAGAGAGAATTTTTTTAACACAATTTTCTCTCTTTTTGTTCGTTTGTGTCTTTCCCTGTAGGAACAGCAGGGCGCTTCACATTCATGCTGACTGTATGCCGTCAAAACCAAATCAAGTCCAGAAAGTCGCACCCTTGCCAGAAAAAATACTGGGATTCAGTTTGTAGCGTCTTGCAATCAGAGGATTGGGTTGGAGTACATCTCCCTCCTGTTGCATGTCGACATGCCACAGGGCAGCAGTTGCCTATTGATTTGTAGGTGACTCGTAGAACGAGTGTGTTTGTGTTTGTGGAGATACAATATTGCACGTTAAGTTATATATAAATGAGCTTTTCCTCCAAAGAGAACGTTCAAGTCTGGGGAGAATCTCCTAAATGGACGGATGGTTGGGCATTTGTCCCAAAGCTTGACACAAACGGGAACACAATACCCATAGTGCAACATGTCGGATTCTGAAGTTTATTTTCTTCTTGTATTTTCACACCAACTAATCCAAAGCTATTAGTTGTGTGCTAGAAAGCAAAAGAGATTGTAGGTGTTATTTTCAAGTTGATAAAAGTTACTCTGTAAGGGTAACGTCAGGACAGATGGGTATATTTAGCATAGACAATGAGCGTAGCATTAAATCATTAGACCCTGCAACCCGGTGTGGAAACAGTCCCTCCCGTTCTCTCCCTTTCTGGTGTTTCTGAGCAGCTCTGTCATTGATAAAGAAACCAGGTTGCTTCCTGAATGCCTTCCACGTTAGGTCATCTGTCAACATCTATGAATCTTCCATACAAACGTCTGTAGCTGAGCCCAACATAAACCAGGAGCGGCTAACAGCGGAAAGAATCACATGAGCGTTTCTGAGACGAGAAGTAGGGAGGAAAAAAAGTTTAATTTGAAATAGATTTGATTTCATTCAAACCTCGTCGACTGACTTTTAGTTTTCTTCATTCAGTAAAGAATCAGAGGGGTATTGATCTGGGGGCTATTGATCTGACACAAAGTAAATAAATGGGGTATTCTTAACAACATGGGAGCAGGGATTTTAAGTAGCAAATGTTCATATATCAGGTATGTATATTTTTCATCAATTTGGTTGTTTTTAATGGCTAAATTAATTATTTGAATATGAAAATATATACTACAGTGAAGTCAAGTAGTGTTTCCCCCATTCTCCTTTTCTACTTTTTATAAATATTTACACTTAAATGTTTCTGAACATCAAACATGTTTAAATATTACCCAGTGAACAAAATAAAGTTTTTTAAATAAGTATTTATTATTAATGAGTTTACAAAAAAAGTAAATCCAAACCTTCTGTACGAGACTCTGTGTGGGAAAGTAATTGACCCGAAGACATTTGAGCAAGACCATAATGCATTGCCATTTCTGCTCAGTTTTATTTTATAATCTAGAATCCAGCTTGTGGTTTTCTTCCATAAACTGGCTGTAAAGTTGATTTTATGCCACATTTGGTTTATAAAAAAAAAAAAGAAAGAATATCAAGGCAGAGTAAAATGCGCCACAAATGATGAAGAGTTGTTTTGAGTATTACACATGGATCTAAAGCTCCATCCTAAAGACGCACATGTTCAAACACACGGTCCATTGGTGTTGGAGCAGCGACTCCACCATGTTGTCTAACCTGTGGGGCCTGGAGAAGTTGATGAGTGTCCACATGTTTAGATGTACAGGCTTCAGTATCTGCTGCAGCGTTTTACTCCACCAACCTGGATTCTGTTGTAATACGGTGTAGATTTTTCCCAGTGACCAGCGGGGGCCGATCAGATTGTCATGCTCGGCTGCGTTCGTGTTGCTCATCAGACTGTGAATGAGGCCCTGAGTAGAGGCTGCGTGTCAGGAACGTGGAGGAGACTCTATGTGGAGTCGGGTGAAGAGCAAATTGCTTTTTAATTGATCGTCTTCCCCTTTAAAAGCCACTCTCAGTACCTACCGGGCTGCTTGTTTCTGCTTTCAGGGCTGTGCGAATGTTTCCTGCATATGAGAGGGCAGCCAATAGGTGACCTGCACTAGGAAATGCCATCATCACATGCTCAACTCCCGACTCGCAGCTTTTGTGAGTTGAGGGATTCCCATTACAACCACAGCATTAGAATCAGGAGATGTTTGTAAAGCTTTGTTTTCTAAAGGATGGAGTGAAATGTGAGCTTCCCAAACTCTTCCTCAGACAACAGAAGAGGCAGAAAAAGAAAAAAAAAAAAACACACCCAGATTTAAACACTACAGGGTTACTGTGTAATGTGATCGCTTTCTGAGCTCCCTCTCCTTCTGTCTGTTTTATCACATGCAACCCGAGCTCTGAAAACCTGTGAAATATTAATCAGTCTACTGCTGGAGGAGGCTGGCGGATGTGATTTCTGAGCTGCATTGACTTCTTAATAATGCGCCTCTTGGGACATTTGTAAGTAGGCTTGTGTTTGGGTGACTGAGGGGAGGCATGGCGATGTAGCAGTCCAGACAAGAGCTGGGTTAGACTGAGGGCACCTGATGCTCACCGAGGAAGAGAAAGTTGAACGGTGGTAAAAGTGGTTACATCACCTATAAAGATTGGAAATTTATATAAATAGCCAAGAGTGATCAGTTGATGTTTTTTTTTTTTTGCAAAGTGCACAAATGTATTCAGTTTACATTTAGTTAATATTCCAGAGTGCAACAATCAGGTGGAGCAAAAGCAGAGGTGGTTGAGGAGCTCAGAGTGCAGAGTCCATCACCTGCTTAGCTGCAGGCCACGGTTCATCTGTCAGTCTGTCACCATCTCGTTCATTCATTTATTTATTTTTCTTTGACTCTGTGTGTGCAACCCAAAGTGGCAGCAGCGGCCATCTTCCTCAGTGCAGCGGCACACCGAGACAGTCGGTGTTGGTTGTAAATTACAAATGCGATGGAATACAGTCGATGCAGTCGACATGCTGGCGCGTATCTTAACCACAGCAGGAGTCGACGCGTTGATGCTATGATCAGTGCAATCCGTCTGCACAGCGGAGGCGGGTGGAGGGACTTGCTTGGCAGATTCAGTCTGCACAGTTAAAGTAAAGACAGTTGAAATGTTTCCTCCAGATCACGGTCCAACGACCTTTGGGATTGTTTTTTGTCTGAATTCTTTGTTTTGAGGTCCAGTAATTTGAATGATTTGTATTTTTTTGATCTGTAGCTTTGTTTAATTAGTCTTTCCCTGTATTTGTAATTATCCCTGGCTCCTTGTTGCCTTCTCCCCGCTCTGCTCCCATTCAATCTGTTGATTGCACTCAACGTGTTTTCATGCCACAATCAGACCTCCAAAATATCAAAGCTCTTTCTTTAGGTTTCGATTTCTGTTCTGTTTCCGGATGTTTGCTTTTCTTTTTCCTGTTTTTTTTAATCTTTTTTTCTGTTATTAAATCTATCAACAACCTTCATCAGCATCACTCCTGCTCCAATTGATTTCTCGCTTATCCTCGGTTTGTCAGAAATTAGACAAACTGAGACATCTTCTCTTGTCTCGCCTCTGATGTAATATAAATTTAAACTGAAGAGCTTTAACCCTCCTGTTGTCCTCGGCTTATGTCGACCGAGGACAAGCCCTTAAAAAATATGTTTTTCAATTGCAGCTGCATACAGAAACTTTAATCTAACAGTCCTGCATCAGAACTATGGTGTGCACAACTCAGGGGGAAGTTTAGGCTCAAGCAATCCAAATGTGAACTTTACAAAAGAAATAAAAATAACCAAACCCAGGCCTCAGGTCAGACTGACCGGAAGACTAAGGAAATCACAGCTGGACAGGCAAACAGTATGGAATGGCATCATTGATCTCCGTAAAACTGATATCTTTTCAAATTTCCCCCCTCCTGTTGCCCTCGGGTTGACATGACCCGAGGACAAGCCCTTATAAAACATTTTTTAATTGCAACTGCATACAGAAACTTGAAATCTAACAGTCCTGAATCAGACCTACAGTGTTCACAACTCAGATGGAATTTTCTGCTGCAGCAATTCAAATGTGAACTTGACGAAAAAAATAAGAACAACCTCCTCTTGTCTTCGGGTCAAAATGACCCGAAGACAAGAGGAGGGTTAATAGCTTTTTACCAAATAAAATATTCATTTCCCATTGCATGAAATCTAAAGAACAGATTTCATTGGGAAATCTGATCTAGTTTTAACATTTATTCCTTTTGCTTGTTAAAATAAAATATATTTTTAGATGTTTTTAAAGATGTTTTTGTCTTTGCAGGACCAGCAGCTCAAAAAGGTCGTGACCCTGCTTTGGACGGATGTCAACCGGCTCTGAGATTTGCATGGGTCGTTCTCATCAACCAAGGGTAAGATCATCCTTTTGCCAAACCTCTCAAGTCTTTCGTTTAGGCGGGTAAAATAACACTGAATAATGAAAACATTCACAGGACTGAATGACTGACGACCTGCCCGGCTTCTGACTGTATGAAACTGGGTTACGTTTTTTTTTTTTTTTTTTTTTAACCAGGCTACTTTTAATGAAAAAATTATTGCATTCTGATGTTAAATTAGATATTTTTTGGGGTGACTTTGGTACTATTTTTTTGCTGTGATTTACAGCGCCCTCCATAATTATTGCCATCTACAATTAAGATGTTTGGAACGCCTAGAGCTCTTCTTTTATTTATCGGGACTGCTAATAAATGTGGTTCGTCATTTATGTCTCAGTTTTCATAACAGGAGCGAAAACTCAATCAATTACAGCTGTTGATCCTGTAATCTGTCTTCTGACAATAAGTGAGACTAAAACAATAGATTGCTGTGTATTAGAGAGACTTCTCTGTTACATCCTGTCCACATGTCTCGTCTTTAGCAACTGTATGTGAGCGCCGTGTTTCTAAAGCGGTTCTTTGGATTCCCCTTCCTTTCACCGTTTTCCAAATTACGAATGTTCTTGTTTTAGGAAAGTGGGATAAAGAGTCACTCCTACCTGACAAACAGTTCAGACTCTCATGCTGGTTGCCAGGGAGTCATACACTGAAGTTGCACCTATTTATGGACGTCAAATAAAAAGTAGGGGGAGAAAGAAAAACGAATGGACAGCCTTTTCTACCTCTTGACACTATGTTTCTCTTTAGCCACTGATTTACTGAACTCCGACTAACAAGGGTTTGCTATTCCTTTTCCGCCGGGGTTAATCTTATTCCTGACAGTTAAAACAAATCATTCCCAAGTTTTGGCACCAGGAGAAGACACGACCGAACTCCAAGCTTTAGTGTGGTGCTTTCTGTTAAGCAGAGCTGGAGCTCCTGTGTTGGATTTTCTCGGAGGCGCAGTAGATCAGCGGCGCTGCAGCCCGTCACCTCAGTCAGGATTTACATCCTGGCCTCAGATCAGACACGCACTTTAAAGCCTGACAAGATGTAAAGGCTTGCAAAAATAAAAATTGGCACCAAGGGGTCGATGTGAAGCAGCACTAGCATTAGATATGAAGCTACTTTTAACCACCTCCTTGAGCACTGCTTGGTTATGTGTTTAAATTAAAGTGCAAAAAAAAAGCAATAAAACCCACAAACTTCAGAAAACAAGTAAAAAGTCCTGGAATGATTAGTGCACTTTAATGTTGAATTAATTAATGTTGGACAGAAGTGCTGGGCTGGTTGTAGAAATTGTTTGCTCCTTTTTCCCTACACCTGACTTTAACTCTGTTGTCTGCAGCTGGAACACAGTGATGGTCCTGTGGTCAGTGCAGCCTGGAAGTGCTTGGGTTTGATGCTTTCACTGTACAAAAAAAAAGAAAAAGAAAAGATAAATAACTCGAAAATTTATGGAGCATCTCTAGTAGAACTGCTCAACATAAAAAAAAAAAACGAAGATGTGAAATTAATGAGGACAATAAAATAGGAGATAAATATATAATTTTCTCTCTTATTTTTATCTACTTCCTACTCTCTCTGTGACCTTTAGCATGTTGGACGCTATCCTGTGTAAAGTGTTGGCATCTACTCATAAACATACAAAATGGTTTCTTTTTCTCCTTACACATGTTGACCTTGACCTTTCTGTGTGACACTTAATAGGAGACCACTTTTTTGCCTGCTCAGAATTCCTGTTTTAGGGCCATCGGCTTCAAATTGTAGCACAGAGCAAATTGCTGTGCAGTGAGGGTTAAATGCATCTGCGCAGTGGGAGAGAGGTTATCCGTCCGCAAGTCTTCCCTCTACCATCAAGGTCGGCTTGTTCTTAACAATTTAGTTCTCCAAAATGTCATTGGTTAAATTAATTCTCTGAAGCCTCTCTTCGGAAAGACCCTTTTGATAGTAAGAGAATGCCTATTAATCTACTGGCAAGGGGCCAATTATGGCGGACAGTCACCGTGTGAGCATACAGTGTGAGAAGTAATTTGACCTCGAGGTCTGAGCCGGGGGGATTTCAACTCGCACGTCCTCGGGTTTCATGCAACCGAAAATGGGAGAGGAAGAGGCCACCTTGCTCAGTAGGACGATAACGTTTCTGTACCGAACTTCAATGCTTAAGAGCGTGAAAAGAATTAACGCCAAAGAGGATGGAAAGTGGAATTATGAAGCGAAAAAGACAGAAATGGTGAGGAAATACATAGCGTACGTAGAGGACATGACTTAAATTGTGAGCAAAGGAAGAATAACAAGCATTTTCAGTGGGAAATAATGGAAACATGTTGCTGTGAATTGGAGCACAGTCATCATTTGTGATGAACCTCCACATGCTGGTTTGGAAAACATGCTGAGAGGCCTTGAAGGCATCACCTGCACTGTGGCAGCGCAGAAGTCGTCCCTGTGAAAACCGATTAGTAATGGCCGGAGGAACCCAGCAGGCGGTCTCCGCTGTTCACCCACATGAATAAAAGCTTTTATAATAAAATTAAGTGTAAAAATATAAAGATCCCACTTTGCTGTCTAACATGAAGCCTAATCTGTCCCATTCAATCTGATTTCTACAGACTGTTTTTCCCTTCGAGATCTATTCTCTTTTTAGTTGTTTTTGTTTTTGGTCACAATTAAATGTTTCAGATCATAACTTTAGAACAGATAACCAGAGTAAATCCAAAATGCAGATTTTAAAGGATTGTTTCATATTTCGATCAGCAGGAAAGAGGTGACCGAACCAACGTGACTTTGTGAAAACATGACATAAAAGTGACAATAAAAGGTTCATTGTGATTGCAATTATTGGGGGTAAGAATAGCCCAACCAACTATTAGCTTTAGGGAGCAATTTTTATTTTTTATTTTTTTCAGATAAAACTTTGTTCCCTTAACAAATTGAATCATTGTTTAGTCATGTTATTTTTTTTTCTGTATGGTATCAAAATTAGTTTGACTTAAAACACTCAAATGTGAGGAAAAGGACTTCTGTCTTTTTTTTTTTTCAAATGTCCCTCTACTTTCTAAACCAGATCAGCTCTGCCATGTGACTCATCTAAATGTAAATGGTTGCATTTGAAAAAAGGTCGAGACAACTTTCTCATTAGTTCTGAACGTGCATAGGCAGAGATTCTTGGCAGGAGTTTGCCATATCTACAGACTTTTTGCTGTGACTTCGACGGTTTTTAGAGAAACCAGAGTTGGTCACTTAAGATGTATGAAAACCTTTTGGTTTTGTTTCTTATTGTTTGGCAATATGGTGTTTCAAAAATGACTTCTTCATGCAGAGAATTTTAAGCCCGAATGAAATGCAAGTCATTCTGCCTGAGGGCCCACTGCTTATTACACCCATTGGTTTTCTTCAGAAAGTAAACAAATACTGTTTATTATTAATTTCTTTTACTTATTTAGTGCCAGAAAAAGCCGGAAGGTACCGGTTGTAATCGCATGCATTGAACACATATTACTGAACCTTATTAAGTTAATGTAAACCTAGAGAGGGGGAGCTTTTTTTTTTTTCCACTCACTCTGTCGACATGAATTGGATAAGACGGAGAACGAAATGGGCTTTCGGCTGCAGCCCTCAGCCGAACGTGCGATCGTTTTAGAAAATTACATGTTGCAGTGACAAGGTTTTCACATCAGCATCGAATTCATTAATGAGTCCAACCTTTCATCCAACGCACCACTTCCAGCATGTCATCTTAGGAAAGCACCTAACAGGGGGAAATGTTGCTTTTCAGACTCTAGAGGATTTCATATATCTACCTGAAGTGTGGAGCTGGAGGTGCGGTTGGAGTAAAAGCTCATGCTTGCAGAGTCCAGATATGACTGAGGTTGGTGTAAAGCTTATATGTACCCCCACCAGTTTTCATGCTGCGGCAGAACAATGACCCCAGAGTCACACAAAATATAAAAACAAAGCAGCTATGTGTGGCGAAATCTCCCACGTGCAACTAAATCATGAAACGGTGTCACTGTACTTGGCGCCAAGAATGGCCATGTGCAGCAACGTGGCAGTACATGTTTAAATTTTAATTTCAACAAAGATCGCAATTTCTGATTAATTTTATGTAACCAGAAATTCCGATTTCCGTTTAGATGACTTTCTGTCAACCATTTCTTACGTGCTGATCGTTGTGTTTGTCCCAAATATAATTAGCTGCTAGCACAGAGCTCCCTGTGTGCGGTTCAGCATTGGGAGCTCAATCTCGCCCTTGCTGTATAGCGCTCAGACTCTGTGTTTGGATGCTGCAGGGGAGAGCGGCAGAGAGCCGGCGAGCGTGACTAATCCCGGGATCTCCTGTGCGGTGCGTACGGCTGGACGTCCTTCACGCCTCGCTGAACGAGAGCGCGGCCTCACACGATGACGGAGCGGCGGGGAGGTTTTGTTGCTGCCCGGTGCGTCGCAAACAAACGTTGGGTAGTTCTGCCTTTTCGTCTCCAGATGCTGTAGGATGATGCTGTAGGATGATGCTGCAGGCTGATGCTGCCTTGGGCTCCTCCGGTTCACTCTGGACAGATGACTGTGCAGCTCTTGTTTAAATTCACTTCTTGAGTTACTGCCTCCACCGGCACTGCTGATTGTAGAAAAGTAATTTATTTGATGTGTTTCAAGTTATTCCTTGAGAGCAGAAAAACTGGAAATGTGTGCAGTAGAGCAACACAAATTTGAAGGGGAAAAATGAAAATGCGTACATAGTCACGCCACTTTCCTTTGATTCCCCGACATAAAATCTGGTGTGAGGAACACTTTAAAGGGGCCGTATTGTGTATTTTCCAGTCACAGATTGCCATTTTATAGCACAATTAAGTACCTAGATTTTGTTCAGTTGTTATAAAAAAGGTGTTTGCTGATTTCTGCTGGCTAGTCTGAAGGAGCTGTGTAGTAGTTCCACACTCCTCAAATCTGACCATTTATAAAAAAACAAAAAACAAATGTCATGCAAGAAACAAGGTGCTCTG